ACTCCTCCCCAATCGTCCTTTAAATGAGGAGAAATCTTCCTCAGTGGAGGCCTTCGTGGTGTAATTGGAAGTACGTCCGGCTACTAGTTAGGATATACGGAGTTCGGATCCCCGTGGAATCACTGCCCAATTTTCATATTTCTTGATTTTAAAAATCTAATGACTTTACACGTTTAATACAATCATTTCTATATGGAATTATTTCATTGGCTTTTAAGGCCTCTAATTTTATTCAAAGATAAAATTTATCTTTATCATAAAGTCATCGCACATAATCATAAAGGCATAAATAGCCCTTCACATAATCATAAAGGCATAAATAACACTGCACATAATCACAAAGGCATAAATAACACTGCACATAATCATAAAGGCATAAAAATCACTGCATATTATCATAAAGGCATAAATAGCACTGCACATAACATGAAGGCATAGCACTGCACGTAATCATAAAGGCATAAATAGTGCAGCGTAAAGCCACATATGATAAAGGCACAGCTCTGTTTATTATAATGGCACATCTTAACGCTGTACGCTGTTGCTACTTGTTTAACACAAACTTAAATTGCTTTACCAATGTTTCTTGTTACAAACCAGGCATCTACCTTGTTTGTAACATGAAACATCACACATCTAATAAGCGTTCATACGTATTCTTAGCATGAAGTTCTTAGTTACATTCATAGATGTCGCGAGGAGAAGTTTATACAGAAATGTAGCTGATGTCCAAGTAGCGAACGTTACCAAATTATGTACATTATATTCACAATATATTTCAGAATTGACATAATTTTTGCCATTTTAAAATTATGTTAGTGTTATATGTATGAGGCAGAAATAGAAGGTGTGGTGTGGTGGTGTATTTAATTATGGCAAAGCACACTAGGGCTATCTGCCTAAGGGGAGGGATGCCTTCGTGGAGGACTTTCTAAGGGAAACTGGCTCGTATACACGTTACACATGGGGAAAACCACGAAAACACCCATGCAGCCAGCCCGTTCACGGGATTCGAACCTCGGACCGAACTACCAATGTTCAGCGACTTAACCGCTCGGCCGCTGGTGGGCGCAGAAATAGAAGGAAACAGAAAAATGATAATTTTATCCATGACGTTTCTGGGTATATAAAATGTATCTCTGGGCATATAAAATTTTATGTTGCAGTTTATCAACGTTATACATTTAGTTGGAGTCTGATTCATGCATTTCACTCTGTTTCTGTGATTTTATGCATTGTTTATGTGTTTTACATGATAAATTATAATAAAATCAACAGTGTGTGTGATTATGGCAAAGCCTCGAGGGCTATCTGCCTAAGGGGAGGGATGCCTTCGTGGAGGACTTTCTAAGGGAAACTGGCTCGTATACACGTTACACATGGGGAAAACCACGAAAACACCCATGCAGCCAGCCCGTTCGAAACTCGGACCGAACTACCAGTGTTCAGCGACTTTACCGCTCGGCCGCTGGTGGGCCCTAAAATCAACAGTGAAAATGTTTATATTATGGGAAGATATGGTAAGTTAGTAGAACCAACTCCGTTGGGTTGTCAGAAAACGGCTGTGCTTGGCTAAATGTAGGCAAACAGTGAAGTGCAGTGACTTGAAATTAAAGTGCTGTTGAATCTGTTTCAGGACATTCCATACAAAATTAGGCATCGAAGAAAGTAAGAGATGTTTTATGAAAAAAGGAGAAGATGAAGCATACGGGATCAACCTTTCCTTGAAGAATAAAATCTATCCAAAGTGGTACTGTTCAAAGTAACATCCTATTATTGATAAAATTTTAGGTACATAAAATTTGTTTATACATCTTCTTTCTTGTTTGGAGTTCTTACTAGCAGAGAGAGGTGGGTTATCAATGAGTCCATATTGTTGCCAAACTGTAGGAAGCAATAAATAGCTTGTTAAATAAAGTAAAACAGAAAATATGTATTTCTTATTATTTTCTCCTGTCTTGAACATAATCATAAATTATAATAATAACAAATCTTGAACATAATCATAATAACAAGATTTTTCAATAGCATATACTATTTTTCAATGCTTAAATTCATGTACTGTGATGTTAATACATAGCATTTTATTTCTCAATACATCTAAATAGACAACTGTGAAAAATTAAGACAGAGAAATTAACATAAAAGTGAAACAAGGCAACACAACAAAGCGAAAGAGCAATTAAGAGATAATCTTGGGACCAGAATAGTAGGAGTTGCGTGCGACTTAAAGATAATAGTGTGTCGAAAGGGTTATAAAACAAAGCTCAGCACGTCGGTGAAAGTTGTTGCACAGTATACAGTGATTTCAACGATGACGAGTTGCTAGGACCGTGTGATATGGTCAAGACGCAATCCAGAAGACATCATCTGGATGATATTACGCGAGGTCGTGTCATTGGGAAACCGCCAGTACGTCTGATAAGCGTGGAAAAGTATGGGATCGCTCACAACATCATTCGAGCGTTCAGCAGTGGTCGTATACGAGCAACATCGCCGGTGGACGACCGGTGCATTGCTCTACTGGCGAGAAGAGAAGGTGGCACACAGTGGAACATGTCGCAAGGTATATAAACGCACGATATCAAGCTTTACCGTAGGAGGCTGCACAAACTGCACAAACATGGCTAATATGAACGACGACTAGTATGGTGTGCGCCGTTAATGCCTGCTCATCGCAGATATCCGGAAAACTCGAACTATACACAACAGGAGCGAGGAGGATGCTGTTTACGGATGACATCCGATATAGTCTCACAAGCGATTCTAGACGTATACACATCTGGGGAGAGAACTAAACACACTATCACCCCACCAGCGTCATCGAAAGTGACCGTTTTGGGGGTACTGCAGTTCTCGTTTGGAGTGGTATCATGCTTAGTAGCCTCACTGACCTCCACATCTCCCAAGGAGGTTCAGTAACAGGTGTCTGTTATTATAACCGAGGTTCTTTGGCCTCACATGCATCTGGTTAGAGATGATGTAAGTCCGGACTTCCTCTTCATGGAAGGTAACGCTAAGACTCATCATACATTAGTTGTCGCAGAGCTCTTGGAAAGAGAAAATACTCAACTCATGACTTCATCTGCAAATTCATAGAACCTAAATCCCAGAGAAAACGTATGGTACCTTCTCAGAGAACTTTTGGCAGTGAACGTTTGCCAGCAACGTTTCCGCAGCTGAAACTGGTGCTACAATAGAAATGGGAAGTGATGCCCCAACAGCTCCTAGAAAAACCTTATCCTCAGCATGGACAGATGTTGTAAATTCCTATATTGCAGTCAGGAGTAAAAATCCTGTCTTCATAAGTGGATATCCTTTCGGAAGACAAGATGTTTCTTGCAAGGCGCCTGCCACATGGTTGTCTCTTTCTTATGTTCAATTGTGCTACGAGCTACTTTTTTAATAAAGTAACGTTTTATCCTTTTTGATTCTTTGGAGGGTTTTGATCACTTGTCTCATATTCTCACTCTTGGAGAGCCTATAGTATGATTTGGTTCGATGTGGAATACTTCTGTGCAACGTTACATTTAAAAAAAACTTCTCGTCTTTAAATTTTGCACATCAGTGTATAAACTTTGTTCTCATTGTAAAAATTAAAATACAAAAAGTTAGACTCTCGTCTGACAAAAATTGACCGAGATATTTCATTTTAATGTTGGAGATCATATGCAGGAACCAAATGCAAATGCAAATATTTTGCTTACGCTAATAGAAAAGCAAAATATTTGCATTTGTGCGCAGGCATAATAAAATGTTGCTTTTGTAAAAGATTTCGGATGTTAACAAGTTCGGTGACGAGCATTTCTGAGCTGATTAAAAATAAAAAGCATTGATCAATTACATTAAAAAAAAAGATATCTTGTGCACAAAATCTTACAGTATTCGTATTCTAAAAAATACTGCCATACTTATTCACTATTGGCTCATAGCCAACTTGTTATATTACTTGAGTAAATATAAAATTTTAAATACTTCTAGTTTAATGAATTTTTTGAATGATTATCAGATTACAATTCTAAAGTAGTAAACTTTCATGAGAATATTAATACATATATTTTTAGCGTAAATTAAAGAATGTTGCAGACTAGTAGACCATAAAAGAATATCATTCAATGCCATTTAAAGGGAAACATTAACTTCGAATTATTCTGCTTTATTTATTAATCGCCACCTCGAGGCAGAGTGGAAATGACGTCAAATATCCCAGATTTTGAAATTAAATATCTCGATTAAATTTAGTGGATTCAAACATTTTTGTTTTTTATTTTTATAACTATCAAACTTTCCTAAATATAAGTTTAGGGACCAGGGTAACGTATAAAAATTACATTTAGTATTTTTTATAATTTTAATTAAATGTTTTTTACTTTAAAAATATTTTAAATTGGAACTTAATTTTTAAATGTATTTAATTAATGTTTTAAAATTAATATTTTAATTTTTAATTAAAATTTTTACTTATATAAATTTAATATATGACGCCAAACATTAAAATTTGCGTCATTTGCGTTTGTAAATATATGTCTACTACCAATAGTTTTGAAAATAAGGGCCATGTAAGAACTTTTATGGACTTGGGATATCTACGTATAATTGTAAGTAAATCTCAAACATGGAAAAATAGGAAATAACGTAATAATTTATATTTCTCAGATAATGAACATAATTTTCAGAACTTTAATTAAAGTTGCTTTCTAAGTAATTTTAAGTATAGCAACGTACTTTATGGGAAGAACCAAAAGACAGAAATCATTCAAGTACTTCGCCTTCGATATTTCAACTAAAATTTTAAGTCCTGTATTCTTCCAAAGCCAGAATCATTTAATTGTTCGCCAGGCGAAGACTTTAGATATGATTTAGGAAGAATATAAACTACTCTTAAATAAGCCTTAACGTAAGCTAGAAAATAAACAGATTTTAGGAAGTTTTTAGGTTTCAGATAACTGAAATTAGAGAAATTTTATCAAAAAATTTTTAAAAAAATTTTTCTTCTTTACCTGCCCAGCGTGCAGAAACAAAAGGAGTTCTTCCAATGCCGCCATGACCACCATAACTTTCGGAAATATAAAAAAGGAGGAAAATATTTTCTAATAAATACCTTAGAAATAATACACAAAATACAGGATGCACCATAAGTCGAGCATCGCAGAGAGTTTCAGAGAAATTTTTAAAATAACTCATCTTGCTTACAACATTTTCCAAACAATTTTTCCATTCCTATAAATACCCCTTTGATATCATTAGAATCAATATGAAAAGTTTGACACGTCGTCGTTGTACCCCTACCCCCTCCTAGGTATTGCAACTTAAAAAATCTTCTCCAAGTAAATCAAGATTGTCAGTGGGTTCGCTCGTGGTCATGTCTGGACTCTGCGGGGACTTTCGTCCCTTCGTCAGTAATGCTCGACATGTGGGACATTCTGTGTAACTTAAGTTAATTTTTTTTTTATTATTATAAACACAACATCAGAAAATTCAAATTTATTTTTAATTCAAGTGGATAATATTGATTACTCTCAAGTGTTTAAAAAATACCATGAATTTTGATTTTATGCAAAAAAATGTTTCTTCATGAAGCAAACTTTCAGATCACTACTATCAAAACCACTTTTAATACAATAATTGTGATGTTTGTTTCATCCAGTGCTTCGCAAACATTTCTTATCTCAAAACATTTTTTTAATCTCTAAAAGTTTTAAGGAACAAGAGTAAATTTCTGTTTTTGCTAGTTACATACATTTAAATTTTAGTGGCTAATTTCCTTATAAATTAATTTTTTAAGATAATTGATAGCAAATTTAACTATCAATGTAGAGAAGACAATGTTGGCCTAATTTTATTCTTAGCTACCAAAAAAGACAAGAGGTCAGATGTTTTCAGGTAATATTTAAAGAGCTTTTACAAATACCAAAGTGATGGAAAAACAGTAAATGAAAACTTGACTTTTCTGGTTTACCTTCATCATAGACAAAAACTACAATATTTATTTTTTAACGTTAAAAACTAGTATACTTATTATTTAGAATTAATAAAACTTTTACATTTACTTACCAATTACAAACAGAAGATAATATAAAAAATAAAAAAATCCAAAGAAAATCGACACTTTTAAAGTACTAAAGTGACACTGGACTACTTCTTTAACTCTGTGACAGAATTTAATGTATTAAATTAACCTTGGAGCACAGAACAGAAGTGCTAACATAAATGCATCTTACGTGTTTCGTTGGAACCGTGCGCCATCTGGTATCGTGATATAGTACTACATTTACTACGCGCGCTATTTTAAGGTATCCGATATCGTTCGGGTACCATTTTTTTTAAAAATGGTTTTTATTT